TTTAGTGAAGCGCAAAGTGTAACATTGTGATCGAGACTGTTCTACCAACGCGCTACTGATAGAGCATCCTGGGAAGAAACAAATCGTACTAGAGCCCCGCCCTGTGCATGTCGCTTCCGTTCCAACAGGTTACAGATCCATATCGCTAGCCCTTCTGAATCTGCTGAAAGCCGGACAGTACTTTCGATTTCCATCAAACCTCGTGTTTCACGTTGGAATATCCCAAATACAATCAAAGAGATGGTCGAACAAAACGATGGCATTCTCCCAAAGTTGAGACAATCCTAAGTCACTAGTTGCGTCTGCATCTCTGTTATCTGAGGGCAGCCGGCAGCAGACAGTATTTCGATAGCAACGGGTGGCCGTTACCGGTCTGCGAGAACCAGCCCCTTCATACCGGATACAAACGAAGCCGCTGTAAGGTGCTAACCGGTCTACTCACTGTGATAGCACGCTGTCGCAAAATTCTTCACTTCCAACTATTTGCTTTTGATTTGATTGCCTAGTGCCTCGCGTCTCAGAGGAGACTTACTATTATTTGTTCACCTGGGTTTAGTCTAGGAGGCCAGTCAGGTCTGTTACTGACGATTTCGCCTTGCCAAGGCCAATGCGTAGTGGCCTCCTATTTATAGCAGGATGAGACGTTTCTGGGGTTGCAGAGGCAAGGTGACGCCTTGCGACATCAGCTACTTCAACTGTTGACTTGTACGATAGCTTTAATGGCTCTCAACAATTGTAAGAATAGCCAACACAGCTCTACACCGCGCCCAATAGAATCTGCCCGGATCGATGCAAAGTATATTAATGCAAGGATGCCACGATGGTTGTTTGATTAATTGTTAAATGAACCCTTACAGTCTTGATTTTTCGGACTCAAAATAGTCGTTCCATTTCAAAGTATCTCGTTTACGCTCTCAGCTTACTTCCGATCCCGTGGACGATGACAACAATGGCGCACACTTTCGAAGCATTGCCATTCTATCCCACATCCGCACTACTTCCAATACTAAATGGAAAACATCAACAGTCTGTCTCAGAACTCACCGCCGTCACAAGCAAGAGCTTTATCAATGAGAAGAATATGTGGATTTGCTACAAGCAGAATCATATCACTATTTGTTGCTCTTTCTGTTGGGAACTCATTGACACTGAAGGCTCCCTCTTTACTTCCAAGGGCACGATTCACCAGTTTGGATTGTCTATTTTTGCCAAAACAGAGAAAGGGGGCGATAGCGCTTCGTTACTGCAATATCCGACTACAACTCGCCACAAGGACAGGAGTACTGTACCTCGCCAAAAGGTTTTCACTCTTCACGATTATTGTGAGAACTCACGCACTGCCTCAACATCAATTAGCTGCACCTTCGAGAGAGTTCACTTCCAGAATGCATCATTTAAAGGACGATTGAGAGAACCTGAACGGTTTTCTCTTGTGGTTAAGGTCTCTGCCAATCTTTCAAGGGATCGAGAGGGTTGGGTCACCATCGCGACAAAGGAGTCTCATCCAGTGACTGTTCGCGGTCGCAGTCCGAGTTACTTTCACGCTAGCCGCTGTCTTGTCACGCCGCAAAATCAGATATCTAATCTTCTCAAGCATGAATTGGTTGCGGGCTCAGAAGACGTTTGTCACGACTCTTCCTCCTCTTGTCCAAGTGACAGGAGCCGATCTCTCTCCTTTCTATCGATTGACCTAGGCATGGCAGGCCCAGTCCAGACGGTCCATTATCCGCAAGGGAAAAACGGCGAGAGTCTTGACTCTCCACGGTACGGAACAAGTTCTTGTTGAGGATATGAGATTATGCTCAGGCTCGAGATGATTTCCATTAATTCGTTTTTTTTTTTCACAAACATGGCTCCCATGCTGCACATATATATACACGCTCTCAGAGGGAGATTCCGCAGGCTGGAACGTATTTACAATGATGACCAAGAAATGACTAATCCTCCTCCTTGTCATCTCCCACATCGGAAGGTATCTGGATCAAATCTTCAACAGCTTTTCTTTGAAGACCACACTAGGTAAAGTTTGCATTCTCGACTGACAGCGCTTTTCTCATCTATATTCGTTAGTACTAATCGAAAACCAGGAACGAGGCTTTCATATCGTCGTATTTAATAGTAGGATGGACGATCTTTAGCGTTTTGCTCCCTCTTCTTTGAATATGATATTCTTTCCACGTCTTCTTTTTTCAATATTTCTGCATTGCCTCCTTCCTGGTGTAGAGTTACATCTCATTTTATCGACGTAGACCCTGTGCGTCCAATGCGCTCAGTGTGTGTGTGAGTTTCGACAGGCACTATTCGCATATGAATAAGGAGACGATAAAAGAATTCGTTTTACTAAAAGCACGAATTAGCTTGGAAAGTTGAGACAGTTTCTTAGGTTCGATAATTAAATGGTATAAACTACCTTTCTGTTGGCCGAGACGATATGTGATATAACCAACTCGCCTGTAGACCCTGTGTGAAGACGAGAGAATACAAACTTTTCGAGTCGGCTACTGACCGTTAAATGCAAGCTCTCCGTCTCGCCACCGTTTCAAGACATTTCAATGGTTTCTAGTCTGGACTTATGGCCACAGCTAGGGCGGTGCCAGCTAGGCAACTATCTACCTATGTTTATGCTTGTTCCTACCTATCAATGATCTTGAGTTTCTCGAATGATGAAACAGGATAATTGTGCATTGGACTAGGTAGTAGTGATGCATAATTAACTAATGACAAGGTGGTCGCTGTAGCCAACGTACAGACAATAGTCTCGCTGCTTAATCCACTTAAGCATTACCATTCGTCAAAAGAGTGGATGACATTCTCTCAACGTAGGTGTGATGAGGATCAATCGATATACAAGCAATGACTCGGAACCAGTCCTTACGTGCACACTTGGTGGCTGGGCGATTGTGTCAAGTTGTGCCTACTGCGAGCCTTGAGGGTGGGAGCTATCAATCCTTGATATCCAACCATACCACAAGGTGCGATACTGACAGAGGTGCAAGGAAGTGTCAGAAGGAGATCGTTGGGTCGCACCAGCTCACCACTGTCGAGAATTTTCCCGCCAGGGCTTATTCATTAGATATCTCACCAGTTCGAACTCGTCGTTTAGTAGGTACTGTCGCTTCGATCGTGTTTCCTTGGCAATAGGAACCCTTTCGTATGAGAATTACCTACTAAGCTCACAGTAATCGTGATGCTCATAAGCATGTCCTTTCCTTGGAGATGTTGATCTTCGTTTATCAGATAAGGTTACCAACCGTGAGACGTATGTCCTTCCATTCAACCCGTGTGGTAAGAAAAACACGCTGGGACAGACGCGAAAGGAGAAAGGTCAGGCAACAAAGTATGAGTGAAACCATGTTGGCGACTTTTGGAGGATTGCTGACCATCAGTATGGTTTGTAAAATATTGCACTATATCGTCAGGAGAACATGGAATTGGCATCCCTAGAATCTCCTAGAATGCCATTTTTAAATGTCCAAATCAGCAAAGTGTTAAGAAACATTAGGCTCTTGGTAACAGCTTCACGACTTAGCATTCGTATGGTCTATCCTGTCAATCCATATGCCTATTAAAATCACAGGCTCCCCTGAATGTCGTGAGAATGTCTTGACAGTCGGGAGAATTGCAGCAGAGTCCTCCTTTTTCGTTCCGAGGACGTGCGATTTCCTGTTACTCCTGCTGCTATTGTTATGATTCTGGATGGTGTTGTGGACAGGCTGAGAAACCGGATGGCCATTCTGACTACTAGTGGTTTCATTCTGGACCTGGATCACTTTGTGATGAGAATATATGGTTCAGGTTTATGCCTTATATTATGTTGGTGTTAGTGCCTCGTACCTACAGTAGTTTTCATCAGTTACATTGTACAGACATGCCAATACATACAGCCGTGAATCCAAGAACCAGGGAGGTTCAGATTTGTAACACTGGAGCAGTACGTCTGAGCACGAAAGCTGCAAGGCAGACTCGAAGACCTGACTACTGGCAGTGTCGGCTGGAGTGTGACGCGTATCTAATATTCTCGTTTGTGATGATACCGGGAAAAGCAGACACCCCACATGCTAATGTGATCTGAGCTGTTCACATGGCTCTGACTTGCTTTTCCGTCTTCTCCATCCATGTAACATGTGAAGCTCTTGCTCGGGCGTCCTCTTTGTGGCTTGACAGGCAGCGTTTCCAGCTTCTGGTCTAAACTGATTACCAAATCACTGACAGGACGCCCAAACCTTTAAGAGTGGTCGCCGTGGCGGTCATCGCGCAGGCATCAACGTTGACCAGCCTATCACAAGTTGAGGCATCTGGACTAGTGCCGTACAACTTGCAAAAGTTCTTGAAAGTGATGTGCTCTGGGGCCGTGTCAGTGCTCTCTCCTGAACACATCGCAACGGAGTCGCAGGGTTCAGCAGACTTTTATTGGTCCTCAACACACCCACATTAAGGAAATATTATGTCGTCTCGACAAACTATTCTTGTGACGTTCTACACTCACGAAACCACTGGTGCGTTAGTAGCCTGATATGGCGTGTTGTCGCCAAGGGATGTCTTTAGCCAAACAAGGGGTTTTACTGAGGCAATTTGAGGCTATTGCTGGTGAAGATCAGATCAACCCCCGAGAGCAAGCGATCCAGCAACCGCCGCAGCCGTTTGCCCAGTATGGCTTAGGCAAGCTAACATGGGCACAGCTTGCCTACCTGAGGGTATAGCTCGCTTCATAGTTGGCTCTCGCTGATCCAATTTGGCGAGGCACAACCAAGACAGAGGTTTAATTGTAAGCACTAAGTTTCAAACCTCGTATGTCACTCGTGTTTAATGGGCAAAAGGCTCCGGGTTACTATATCTTCCAGTATCAAAGATATGATTTGCCCAGCCGTCTCTTGCTCGTAAAATAGACAAATTTAGCTTGCAAATACAAATACATAGTCCTGATCTCCATTCTTGAAATCAAATTCCTGTCTAGTCAGCATTGAGGCTGTTTTTCTGCGCTTTCATATTTAGCCTTTACCATGGAATCGCCTTTCTTCCGAGTTCAGTGGAGTACAGACCAATGGTGTCCCCCTACGGTGACTTTCAAAGATCCTCTCTACGATGCTATTTCAGAGCTGGGGAGAGTTCCGCCTACTCCACATCCGTCTGCACCGATACCCATTCATGACGCCATAAACATTCTGGTCGATATTCGACGGTTCAAAATACTTCCAGCACTTCGAATTGACAATGTTATAAACGCAGCGCAAGTGGTTGCAAAGCACTTCACTGACCAATGGGAAGCAAACTGGATGTTAAAATCGCGAAAGACGGAAGTCTATACAATGGGCAGTATGGCACGTCTCTTTTGAGGGACAACTCTATCTTGCCTAGCTGGGAACGGGGCGTTCTCACACTATTCTGCCGATGAGATTGTGATCAGTATCACGCCTAACGACGGTCAACCTATCAACTATGGTTGGGACCAGGTTACACGGGCATGATCGGATTTTTCATCACTAACGTTCACGCCCCTAGATACTGTAGTCCCTCTTTAGGTTCTAGCGAAGCCCATCCAGGACTGTAAGCTGAGGACACGAGCTACTGCCGTTGATCGTGGCAGGCAAGGAGGCAGAAATTCTGTTCAATTAAATTTGACGAGAGAGTCGGTTGAGGCGTGGGATTGGTACTGTATAGGTGCGTGGAGTCGGGGTCTTTGGCTGGCGGCCATGACTGCCTGTGGAGGGCACAAGTCGGACATAACGGAGAGGTGGTTCAACGATCTTCCACTTTTCTCTTTGCTGATCACGACCAACCTCAAGACCCGCAACCCACTGGTTTTCGTGTGCAGGATCAGGTTAACCAATTGAGACCCGTCGAGCGATATCAGCGTTTCATCGTCTACCACACTTTCTAGAGGATTTGGTTCGCTTTCCCGAGGATTTCCGTCGTTGATCTCATTCAATCCTGACTACGATGGCATTTATTTCACCCCAATAAGCCGTGGCTCTTGTACTTACTTTTGGGACTAATCTTGTGACCTCTTTTATGGTCTTCTATGCATCGGCCGAACCAATCACGGCCAATAACTCAGGGACTCTAGTGACAAATGAATTGGAAGTGCATTGGCTTGACTAGCTTTGTGAAGTGCAAATACAGTACAGTACATTTCAGATACAGAGCTCCCGAAACCGCCTTCCTGTTGAAGATTTAGTCTAGATACCTTCCGATGTGGGAGATAACAAGGAGAAGGATTAGTCATTTCTTGGTCATCATTGTTAATGCATTTGCAACCTGCGGAATCTCCCTCTGAGAGGGTATATATATATGTGCAGCATGGGAGCCATGTTTGTGAAGATGAATATAACGAATCAATGGAAAACATCTCGAGCCTGAGCATAATCTCATATTCTTAACTCTTCCCCCTTGTACGGACACATTGTGACTTTATCCCCGGAGAGGCTAAGATATTAGCGGACAGAGCTAAACTTGGTTTGTAGTAGTCTTACTAATTTATCCCAAACGAAGGTGAGGGATCTTCCTATCGTATTTCCAATACCACGCGTATACCGAAAGATTCCGTAACACATGCAATGTATTGGCCCGGCATTTCTTGCTACACCCAGATATTGACGAGTCCTTGGGATGGCTGCACGGAACCCCGGGGGCTTTCACAAAGCTATCGGAATACGGAGGATGAATTGCTGGTGCTTCAATGCTGTCCCATACCGGCGACCTTTCGCTTCTTTCCCAGTTTGAGATTTAATTCGAAGCTACTGCTGGTGCCAGTTCGACAACAAACTAGTATTCGCGCAGGCCGCCATTCCCGCCACAGCTTATATCAGCCGCAGATCTGCGACCGGGTCAAGGGAGAATTTTCTGTTGGAGCGATAAAGTTCTGATCGTTCTGACGAAACAACTAAAGAGCAAAACATTCCGTACCTTTTGACCATGATACTGTACAGCCGGAATCGCAATCCCCCTCCTCTCATCGGCGTGCGCAGCTCTAGCGAGAAGCTGCACTTTCTTCTCCTCGAGCATACCCGCAAAGTGCGACGGCCCCCGACGCATTGAGCTGGAGCACCGCTATGCTCTCTGGTTATCTTCGACGGCCCCGTCAACATATCTGAATCGCTGTTTCTCCTAACGCGCAGACCTGACTTAGCGATCGTTCCCATACCTCAAAACCATGTGCTGCTGCAACTCCCGTTCACGCCGTTTGCATTGGTCGTGCATCCGAGACTGAACAGATTGAAGGTTGCCTATTGATGAACAATGCAGAAACGTTCGTGCTATTCAGAGCGAGGTAGGCCGCTTCAATATGAGCCTGTGCGATTTGGCAGGCTGATGAAAGAGGAGAGAATAAAACGGATATGGCACATAAGTGGTATCCGTGGCCTGCGGGCTTCGAGTTAGGTTACAAGAGTGTTACTCTTAATAAAAGGACTCGAATTATAAGAATATCTCTTGACTGGTGTTAAAACATAAACACAAGTGTCGTGCAATAGAAATGATACTGGCGAAGAGACTATTCGAGAAAGTGACCAAGGTGGGTGGGTTGCTTGAAGTCGCATCAATTTCCAGAGATGAGATACACGTCGTTCGTCAGGATGTCTTGGAAGTATTCGAAGCATAAGAGGTTGAGTCCTCTCAAAGCCTCCTCTCGCTCATCTTCCCGAATCTCGGATTTGATACTGTGAAGGACGTCCATGCGGAATTGCTGCAAACAGATATGGACGATCCAGAAGCGTGCTGCGCTTCGGTGCAACTGCGTACGTCGCCCTGGAAAAAAGCAAAAAGCTTATCTACTGTATGCTGGAGGTCTGAGAGAGGCTGTTCATTGTCTTCTTCACTAGATAGCGCGGGACGCTCGAATGCAAAATCATAAACCGAATCTTCCTGGCTAATGTTAGCGTGCGGGCCTATAAAATCATTGAGTTAGCTGAAGGGTGGTCGGATAGGGGACGATAGAACAGGAGGAGGAGTAGTGATAGGTCGAGCTGTTGTGGCGAAAGGATTGCGAGGAGGACGCGGTACAAATCAGCGTGAAAGCTGTGAACTCGACCAAAGTTGCGCGGGACGAGGAGAGGATCGACTGGCAGATGCGACAGGAGCGGAATAACTTGAAGAAGGATGGCCATCTCCTCACACCCATCGACACGAACTCATCAGGATCTGTTCCGGAGTGTTCGTAAACAAAAAGCAATATCTCCTATCCACTCGAGGACCGCTGCCCTGGTCATGGGCGTGGACGACTAGGCGACCTGAATCTGCAGCACCCAGGATCACGGGGTCGGCATTATGTACACACGGTCAACCGGGTCCCGGCTGTATCCCGAATTCCACTCTTGGACTCGCCCCTATTGGTGTAGGGTCTGAGAAAATCATGCATACATCCGACCTCTGCATCTCGTGGCAGTGGAGCTTCCGCGTCTGCAGTGACCTGGGTATAATTATGACCCGCCGGTGAGCGAGGGTGATGGACGATGTATTCTCATACCATCTTTTTCTTCTCATCGCTGACGAGCCCATCTCTCGAGAGCTCTTGTGTCTTATAATCTATTGAACTACAATGGCTTCGTCGCGCGTTGCAATCGCCGGGATCAGCAGTCGTCTGGCCCTACTGCTAGCCACGCAGCTGTTGCGCACGCCCGGCGTCGAGGTTGTGGGCATCTGTCGCAATCCTGCCAAGGTCCCCAAAGATCTCTCCGAGAACCCCAGAGTCAAAATCTGCAAAGCTGGGGCGAACGACAGCACGGCCTTGCGCAATACGCTCAGGGGTGCTTCGACCTGCGTGTGTTGCTATCTGGGGGACGATGCCCTGATGATCGGTGGGCAGAAGATTCTGATCGAGGCCTGTGTCGCCGAAAAGGTTCAGCGGTACTTTGCCTCGGACTTTTCCTTTGATTTCAGAAATCTGTCGCTGGGCGAACTGCCTCACAAGGACTGCCAGCTCGAGATTATGGAGCATTTGCGGAAGGAGGAGAGGTCCGGGAAGATCAAAGCTGTGCATATCTTGAACGGAGCGTTCCATCAAGCTGTCCTGTCCGGCTACATCGGCCTATTGAATGTCGACTCGAAGACGATCCGGTACTGGGGCACGGGTGACGAGATCTGGGAGATGACCTCGATGGACAACACGGCTGAATTTGTTGCCGAGGCCGTGCTGGACTCGACCGCCGTGGGAGTGCTCCGAGGTAAGTCGACTTGTACCGGCATCGCGCTCCGGCTGGAAGGTCCTCTGGCTGACTTTCGTTTCTAGTCATCGGAGACACGAAGTCTGCCAAACAGCTCGGCCAAACATTGGAAGAGGTCTACGGAACGAAGTTTGGGTATGAACGATTGGGATCGCTGGAAGAGCTCGGGAAGCAATTGACGGCCGCACGAGCTGCTCGGCCCAACGAGCCCTTCACCTGGCTGGGCCTGGCCTACAACTACTTCACCATTAACGGACAGACCTTGATGCGCGGGTCGGACAACAAGCGATTCCCCAATTTTCGCCCCCAGAGTTTGAGGACGCTTTGTTCCAAACATCCGCTGGAAGATCTCCCGCATCTCTACGCCGCCACGGCGAAACTCACTGCTGATCCTTGACAGATGGAGACTGTCATGGAGAGTTCTCAACGTTAGAGGACTGTCGTAAGTACAATTGGACGCATACATACATATATTCATATTCGTTTATATATTCATACCATGCACCGTTCCATTTCTGTGCGTAAACATATATGTACACACCCGTGTTGGAGTCGATTAGTCGACATAGAGCCCTCCCGTCACCGAGACGTGCGTTCCATTGATCCATCTCGCAGGCTCTTCACACAACATGCCGACCGCGTAAGCAATTTCGCCCGGGTCGCCGGCTCTCTGAGCGACTGGTGTCTGCTGATAAGACGCCTCCAGGTGCGGTTCCAGACCCTTGGGGGCGCTTAACAAACCAGGAGTCCGGGTTGCCCCTGGACTGATGGAGTTCACTGTGCAGCCATACTTTGGAGGTAGCTCCTTGGCCCAGACACGAGCAAAGCTTTCCACCATCCCTTTGGTCCCTGCGTAAAGCGTCTGGCCAGGCGGTGCATATCGACTTGCGGCGCTGACCATGACAATGATTCGCCCTCTATCGGGCGTCAGGCGCGGCGCGGCGGCCTGCGTCAACAGCAAGACGCCCCTGGAATTTGTGTTGACAATCTTTTCCCACGCGTCAAGAGTGACCTCGTCGAGGTTGAAGAAGTTGATGATAGCGGCGTTGTTGACCAGAATATCCAGCCGGCCGAAGTGTTTGATGGTTTCGTTGACGAGTTTGGCTGGTCCGTCCACGGTGGACATGTCGGCCTCGACCATGATGCCAGGGTTATTCAGACTCGATAGGACTTGCTCTGCTTCTGCCCTCAGACTCGAGAATGGATAATTCACCACGACTCTGGCGCCGCGAGCGGACAAGTCGCGTGCGATCGCCGCTCCAATGCCCGCTGACGAGCCTGAGATGAGAGCAACAAGCCCGTCCAGGCCCGGAGAGGTGGTGACGGGCATTGTTGTACGGCCGCTTTCGGCTCCTTTGCTTCCACGCCGGTGTTGCAGAAACCAATATCAGTAATGGTTTTATACCTAGGGGTTTCAAGTCTGAGACTTTGGTCAGACTATCTCGAGACGCAAAGGGCCGAAGGAGACTTCGATCTGGAAACTACAACGGCATCTTCGTCTCCCACCCATGGACTTGGGTCCTTTTTAGCGCTGTCAGTACAGAGGGCGCTTCCAACACAAGCTTCTTTTCCTAGTTGTGGGGATTTTTTCGTGCGACGACCAGCCACTGTCACGAACATTCAACTAAGACGAACCTTGTCAGTGACAGCCCAGGCCGGCCTAGAAGACTATGGCTTCCGGTGCCGTCCTTTCCCCTACCTTTACGCGAATAGTATGGGGTATGTAGGAGAATGCCGGTCACATGGCATGTTTCTAGCACAAATTGATTCTGCGGGTGCCTGGGGAAATCTGCAGTCCAAGGACGAGGGCCACTAATGGTGTCAGGATGAGGTTCACCATAGAGTTAGGCTCTATCAGAGATCGATAAAATGATTACCAAGAAATGTGGGCGGCCATCGAAATGAGATCAGCAAGAATGGGGCTCTTCTGTTTCATAGGTGTGTCTCTCATAGTTCTCGTTATAGCACAGATCAGAATACAGCAACGTATGCGAAGTGGAATGATGATATACGTGGAGGCCTGTTGAGCATATTGCCCTCATGAATAAAGATTCCATCACGGCCGATCCCATGTCTACCATCCGCAGTAGACGACCTTCAAACTGTCATACCACAAATGATATACCACCGCAGACTAGAAGTGCATTTGAAGCATGAAGAAGCCCGAGAGATTTCCATCCGATGAAATCACAAGGTTCGACTTCAGGCAGGCGGAAGCAGCTTCGTGAGAGGACTCGGGTCCTGTGTCGAGGAGAGATTATCTGTGTTAGCAAATATACACGACAGTAAATGATGACACAGATTGATAGGAGCGAGGTCGATGTACCGAGAAGATCTCGAGACCTTGGATGAACAAATTGCCATCGATTTTCACAAGCTTGAAATTGGCCGCCGATCCGCCGCCGACCATCTTGCCATCTCCGTCGCGGATGCCGAATTTGCCTACAGCGACAATATCCAGGCCTTCCTCATCGGCCTTGTACAGACTCTTGATCTCATGGCGCAAGCCTGGCCATGACTTCCACGCCCAGACGCGTTGATCTTGTAATGCTGTTGTGGGGACTATGGGTAAGCGGGTTGAGGAGATATTGGATGTGTCGATTTCTTGCTGGCTGATCGCTTACCTTTTCGGCCCTGGATTTCGGAAATCCCAGACACATAGTACGAGGCGTCCTCGGAGAACAGTTGTCCATAGTCTTCGGCTTTGGAAGCGTCGTCGGCGTCCAGCAGGGTGAAGAATCTTTGGAGAAATTTCTGCGTCTGCTCGGGCACGATTGAGCCCGGCCAGGGGCTGCTTGTTTCATTGGTCGACATGGTGTTGTGTCGAGGAAGGTATCAAGGGAGGTCTGGCCTTGGACGCAGACGAGTTTCCGCAAGAAGGTGATGATGAAGCTTGGTGAGGTTGTCGATCGGAGAGCAGGATCGGATCTTAAAAGTACGCTTGATGAGAGGGTACGATGCCCTAAGCACTCTTACGGGGAGACGGAGGTGAGGCCAAAGACCAGAAACGAGACAGCGGATACGCAAACAGCTACAACCAACGTTCCCAATGGCTCCCCGGAAAGATGGCCACGATGATGATGGAGGTTTGTCGTCTCTCCATCTGGAGCTAGGGTTACCTCGGCTAGTTGAGTTGGAGTGGTTTTCAAGGGTCTTGGGGTGCCCTAAGGTTTCTCATGACATGCCTAGGTTCGCTGTTTAGAGCCTGGACTCGGCCCGCTTTATCGGGGCTTTAGTAAGCCTAGCCTTTCCTGGCCAAACTTGGGACTGCCTGGGACACAAAGGCCCCTGGGGGCTACGAGGCACGAAGGAATTCTTGACTAGGCATTACTAGCACCAAATCGTTGGTCCCGGACGGCTGACCAAGGGTCGTTTGAGGTGCGGGCCACGCGCCAAGAAAGCTGAGTTAACCCGATCACGGGATCCCGACCCCGTGACCATAGTTCGTCTTCCATGTGACAACTGGCGCCTTGGCAGCGTATTGAGGTATCACTGGAATATATGTGAGTGGTAACGGGGTTATGACAGGTAGATTCCAGTTATAACCGAGTGTTTTTGTGCAACCATTACCCACACACCTACCCCGGCCCTTGTTTTTCTCTTCACACGGACGAAAGTTCACAAGTGGTTCGACTAGATGTTCCACTAGATGTTCCACTCAGAGCAAAAAAGACGGGAAGATCACGAAGGCACCAACTTGGATACATTTGTGTCCGTGCACCGACCATGGCATAGTCATGTTCATTGACGACAACCCGAGATGACGGAGAAGAGGGACAAAGTTGTCCCGTCCCCAAGTTGTTTCCGCATTATTTCCTTTGTATGGCTTCGAGAAATTACCCAGGCCACAGTTGATAGTCCGTGTGTTTGATGTGCTCTCGTGATGATCTTACCTTGAATATTCTCGCTCTCGATATTGTGACCTGAGACTTAGAAGCCACTTATAGAAAGATAACGGGAAGGAATATAAAAGAGAGGAGAATCAGGAATCCATCCCACCTATCTTCATCTCAACGAAAAGATCATTCCAGACTATATACCAGCACCCATCAACCCCGAACATGAAATCGGCTCACATCTTCCGCAAAGGTGAGGCCGACATCGAGGTCAAAGTCCAAGACGTGCCAGTACCTACACCAGCCGAGGATCAGGTCTTGGTCAAGGTATGTTTTATTGTTGCTGTTTTCGGGTCTCGACTCATGACCCCGATTCAGCGAGACTTTGTTTTGACTGATTCGCGCCTCTAGGTTGTCGCCGCGGGCAGCAACCCTATTGATTGGAAATGTGTCTTCTTCGGCCCAGACGCCGTGGGCACTAACACCGGGCTCGACATCGCCGGGATCGTAGCCGCGGTGGGATCGCAAGTCGGTGAATTCAAGGTCGGCGACCGGATCGTCTCGTTCCATCAACCACACACTCCGTACGGCGCTTATGCGACATTTGCTATCGCCACGGAGAAACTGAGCTTCCATCTGCCTGCTCAGATCTCGTTTGAAGAGGGCGCCACTATTCCCGTGACGGCGACGACGGCGGCCATCGCCTTGTTTGCCCGTCTCGGACTCCCGGACCCCTGGCAATCCGTCGACACCTCGATCCATCGCCGACAAGCGTGCAAGGGCGGCGTGCTGGTCTATGGCGGATCGACAGCAGTCGGCGCCTTTGCGATCAAACTACTCAAGCACACCGGCATTCACCCTATCATTGCCGTTGCGGGTAAGGGTGTCGACTATGTCCGGTCCCTTATGGATCCAGCCCAAGGCGACGCGGTGGTGGATTATCGTAAGGGCAGTGAAAGTCTGGTCCGGGAGCTCCGGGAAGTAATCCCCAAGGACGGGAAGCTGCTATATGCCCTGGACGCCGTGAGTGACTATGGAAGCGACTCGAATATCGCCCAGGTCCTGGATCCCGAGGGAAGCTACACCCATATTTTCCCGGGCAAGGTATATGAGAGTCTTCCCCCGACAGTGCGCCAGATTGCCACCACAGGGACCAGTGTATTTGGCGTTCCAGACGATCTGCGGGACCTCGGCTACGTGTGGATGAGGCTGTTCAGTCTCGGTCTCAGAGAGGGCTGGTTGCAAGGTCATCCTCACCAGGTGATCCCTGGCGGTCTGGAGGGCGTCGGGACCGGGTTGAATATGTTGAAGGAAGGCAAAGCTAGCGCAGTCAAGTATGTATATCGCATTGAGGAGACGCCTGGGGTGAAGGCGTAGAGTTGATCAGTAAACCGAGAGCAAAAGAGGGCATTTTCAGGAAGGAAAGGAAGGCCAATAGCGGTGAAACGGTTCGACTTATCTTCGAGAGAAAAAGAGTTAGATAGATGACAATATAGAAGACAGCCAGGCATACTGGTGCAGCATTACTGCAACATGTAGAGTCATATCAACCACAGCACGGTAAGCGTGGGCTTCCTGTTTACATTTCCAACTCGTTGTCGCCAAATTGATTGTCTCGGCTAGGGACAGTTTCATACAGAAAAGGTTCAAATCAAGTCGTTCCTTGCAAAGCGATAAAGCAATCCTGTATTCGTTAGTCGAGCTGTCTGTCTCTACAGCAGCTCTGAGCCAGTTGAAAGCCAGAAGGAAAGAAGGTGGGGCCCGGGTTGGGACGGGGGGAAGGTCAGATGCTTACATCAAATGTCCAATCGTGAGACAAAGCTCCCAGTTCAAGGTGGTCGCTCTTGTCAGTGGCCAAGGGCAACAAACTCACGTAGTTGTCCGACTGCTCGACGATGCGATCGACAAGGAACGGATCGGTCCCATACTGCTCGAGCTGGCGAAGGACCTCAGCATCAAAGAGTTCCTGGTCGACCGGGGCCGTGACCGAGACAGCGGCTTCGTGAAGAGCATCTTCCTTGAACAAGGTAACGCGGTCTACGCCCGCTGATTTGAATCTCGTTTTAAGCAGCGGGATGGCTTCGGCGGCAATATAAGAGATATTGGCCAAGACTTCGAGCGCGGCCAGGACAACCTGGAACATAGCCACCATACTTTCGGCCGAGAGTTTCTGCGTCGCGTAGAGGACCAGCAATGAAGAACCCGTGCGGATAATGGCGTTAGTAATGAGGTCCGGATAGGGATCGAGGAGGAGGATATTGGGCACGGCGGTATCGTTGACACCGACATATCGTGTCTGCAGTGCGAGATGGAGTGCGTTGACGATGCCCCGGCAGGAGAACAGGCGGAGATCGTACGGAGTGAGATATTGGTCGATAAACACAAAGTTGGGCGGCAAAGCGTCTACCAGGATGAGATTGCCGACTTGGAAGTGGATGTTGAGGAGGGCTGCTAAAGCGTCAGTATTGGGCAGAAGACATATCTCACGGACATGTGTCATGGATTTTGTTTTGCGAAAAGGGGCTTGGAGGGGTCTCGAGAAGCACTGAGATCTTGGGAGGTTTACTATAACACATCTGCGTGGTGCGGTTCAGCAACAGAAAATCTCGCTGGCATATACACAGCAGTTGACCGAAAGTCTGCTCGAAATTGTTGCTCTCCTTCCTGGCTGCGTCGACGGCTTCAGCCAGCGAGATGTCGGACATTTGATGGACCAGCGCGTCCTGAACCCGCGTGATGGCGGCCCATACGAGGGTCTTGAGCGGATACGCGTGTTGCAGGATGGCCATGACTTGGTCGTTGGTGAAGGGGGTTCGGAGGACTCGGAGCATCTGGGAATGCTGATCGAACAGTTTGGTGCGCTGGCGGACAGCCGCCCAGACTTTCGACTCGCCGGTCTGGCCCGGTAGGAGGACTGATGGTCGACACCGGGTCAGTGATCGCGTGGTGTCGGTCATGACGCCGAACCAGAACGCCAGTCGGGACATTGAATTGAACTCCTGCGCGTCGTCATCCAGCGGCTCATCGGTCTGGAGCAAGGGGATATTGGTGCTGGAAAAGGCTCCGCGGTCAAGAAGGTCCGCAATGGCATCGCGCCGTGAACTTGGCATCTGTGCTTTGGAGTTGAGATAGTTCTGATGGCTAAGAGACGACTCGAGACACAGATCATCGATGTTGTCGCCGTAGTTTCGCGAGGAGGTCGGAATGATGGAGAAGAGGTACAAGGCCAAGACCGATCGATACGATGGCCTCGACATGATGACGTACATTTCCTGTTTGGCCTGGGCGTAGAGCGCGGCCGACAGGTCTTTTTTGAGCGCATGGATATGCTGCCGGGTCTGTGGGTCATGGTACTGCTTGTCGTCGGTGAGATGCAGCCATCGCACCGAATAGGCGTAGATGGCGTGCATGAGGGCCTGATTGACCACAGCATCGGCGGCATATTCAGAGCGAGAATTGCTGTCTGTGAAGCTGTGGCCATGTGTTGCTTGGCGTCGACTCCAGGCTGCGCTCTTGTCCAAGTTGATCATCAGCCGGGATATGCGTGTCGCCGCCGCTGTTGTCTATGTGTTTCAGTCATTCAGTAGCCGAATCTGTCAATCACTCCATGAAGACGTATTGCTACTCACGAAAGAGGGAGGGCTTACCGATGTAGAGCTCGTGAACGGGCATCCAGCACCTGCGATCCACAATCCGATCCGCGGCTCCAGCAGCGAAGTGTAGACGTTCCAGAGCAAATTGTGTAGTCTCAAGGCCTGTTGAGATCGTGCTAACGAGTCCGAAGTCTCGGACATGACGGCCTGTGAAGGGATGCTCAACGGGGACGAGGCGCTGTCGGCAGCTGTGCCTGCGCTCATACCTGCGTTCATCTCTGTGCCCTTACCAGGATCATTGCCCGCCGCGGATCCCATAGCAGGCATTCCGCCTGATTTCTGGCTCGACGCATGGTTCTTGACGTTGGTGTTAGTCTCGATGGCTCGAAATGAGCAAAGCACGCCTCGTCGAGAGCAGTTGAAGCACCCTTGGCCGGGGAGTGAGTTGGCTGCGTTACAGCCCAGCCGGGAGCGCCGGCAACTGTCGCAGCTGGTGACGGGCTTCCCCATTATCCATCTACGGTCTCAAGATGAGACAGATTGAATATTGAACCGCCCTGGGAGTGTTGACGCTGTACAGTGTAGTGTAATAAGTGACGGGTGTCTGGGCATGGATCTGGGTGAAGGTCCAGGGTCGGGGGTATTGGTGGTGGAGGTGGTGGGAGAGACGCGTACGGGCGATATTCGAATTTGGACCGGCGCAGCAGGGAAGAATCATGCCTGGGAGTTTGGGGGGAAATAGGGAACCAACACTGGACAGTGGAGGCCCAGGATCGCCCAAGGAAGCGTGGGGAGAGTTTCACGACAGCAGTTATTGGTTGGGAACCCTTGTTCGCCACCCTCGGCAGGGGCAAGACACCCCTCGGTGCCTAAATTGGTTTGGTCTATTGTGAATTCCGGGGATGCTCGGGAGCCTCAAAGAGCCCTTGGAACGGATCTTGGAGCCCACGAGAGACACCCAGAAGCCAACCTCGAAGCCACTCTTTAGCCCTCGGCCTAGACGGACGCCCAGACCATTTCGCTGGCATTGGTGCCCCCTCTGCCACAGTTTTTACATGGCAACAAAATTTGTGCTGCGATTCACTTTTTGGACATCATGATGAACAACCACTGTGACTACAATTCTCATCGTCACCATCATCATCATGCCCTCTTCCTCCTCTGAAAATCTACAATTGTGACCGGTTGGCAAATGAGGCCCAGTTCCGGGCCCCCCCTGCACCTCTCACCCACCGAGCCGGCACCGTAGCCCCCGTCGTCGTATCGACGGCCATGTGTGCAATTTGCAACCAGCCGCTCTCCTTCAAGGGAAATCGCGCCGACAACTCTTTTTGTTCTTCGTATAAACGACACGCTTTGGTGCCATGCGCCAGGGCGCGGATCAGCTTGGGGATATGTCCGTCGTCGTGCGTCATTTTGTTGGTCTGATCGATAATCTCCTTCCACGACCTGCCCGGCTGCCGGGGCTTGTAGTTGTCGATCTCCTCGGGATGGAACTCGGGAGCCAGACGAGACGCGTACTGCAAGATGTCCATGCGCACTTTCCACTCGAGCAGCCGTGCCTTGTTCTCCGCGCTGAGCCACGGCTGCGCGTTGAACGCTGAGAAGAAGATGGAACAATTGAGGGAGTGGATGAAAAAGAAGTCGAGCTTGATCTCCTTGTCGGCTCGTTGCGCCGCGCCCGTCATCCACGCATTCACGTTGATCATCTCGGCCGTGCGCACCTCGAGGTCTTTGACGTTAACTTTCCATTTGGATGCGATTTCAATGATCCGCGGCGGCGCATCGGCCAGGATCTTGTCGTTGAGCGAATCGCCGCCGTCCCAGTACTCCTCGTCGTAGAGCGCGGGGTCATCTCGAATATCCTTCAAGAGGTCTAGCAGCGGCGGACACTGGTCGTCAGACTTGCTGTTGGCGAGTTTCTCGGATTCCAGAAGGAAAGGCCCAAAGAACTTGTTGTGACAGACGGCTTGGGCCAAGGCTTCGGCAATCACTGGCGGTTGCTGGAACTCGATCCCGAAGCCGAAGTGGATAAGAGGGTGGATGACGCCTGTGTGGGCGGTATCTCAACGTCAGTGTTCTGTCGAGAATGGAACGAGAAAGCTGGGAAATGGTTCTCACCGGCATGCAAACCCACGAGCAAGTCATCTGCCAGCTCCGTGCGAGAAAAGAGATACTTGTTGACCACACTCGGATAGCCCCCTTCCTCTTCGAACTTGCGCTGGAAAAAAGCCGTGTAATCGTTGAAATACGCGTCATTGCCCATTAATGACTTGAAATACCGTTCATCATTGAACTTCTTGACCAGCGTCTCATCGATCGGTTGCCGTGGTCGCTGGTAGTTGAGGTTCGTGTTGAAGGCGCTCTGCAATTGTTCAGGGGTGGCTCCCAAGGCATAGGCCGTGAGCAGGTAATGGACTTGATGGTTGTGATAGCCCTTGAGATTCCAAAAGACATGGAACTTGTCATGGTTGGCATGAAGCAGCATCTCGGCCCTGGTCGCTGCATCTTTTGTCATGTTGGGTGTATGCCACACACCCGACGTGGACGGTCCCAGGGAGAATTCGGTCATGATGGGAGGAAGGTCAGGTCGGGTCCGCTCGACTTGGTCACCGTTGTTCGAACAGGGTCGAAGCGACTTTTCTTTGCAGCCGCAACCCTGGTGTCCTGTCCAGATATCGGTGAAGTTGCACGCGAAATTCTTGTAGCCCTCCAGAGATCCGGGTGCCACGAAATATCAGGAGACCTGTTGAAAGAGTCTCCACCAAATGCCATAAGAAATGGCTCGTAATGTCACAAGATCGGGCTAGAAAGCACTGTTCATCCTCAGAGCTACCAAAGACAAGCATCAACACGTCTCACCACTTGGCCGTCGCGTTGGACGCTTTGAAAATTCACAGTACTGATAGTAGGGGCCGCACAGGCTCTCGGGGCCGGATCCCCTTCGAACCAACCCACCCTTTTTGTGGTATCAAGAGCGATGGGACAACCCATCTACGCATCGCCTGAATAGATGCTGGTCCAACCCATAACAGCGATGCCGATGACGAGCAAGAACTGGATGCCTCATCCGAGTGTCGATTCAGGCCGATGCCCAATGTCCCAGGAAGCGTGGGGGCGATTCCCGATCACTTGATCGCGAATCGCGATGCCACCATCGAGACTGGGCCCGAACGAGAAACGCCCGTGGCGATCGTTGGCTGACCCCATGGGGTAAGTTTCTTTTGGCGACACGCGACCGGAGAAAACCCCTGGACATCAGGATCTCCAACGGGGCGGTAGAAGGCTGACATCAGCCTCGTACTGTGCGTGAACCAAGCGGAGGACCAAACCCCTCCTGATTGCCGAGCTTGTCTCACCAGTCTGAGACGTCAAGGCTTCCAGATATTTCGGGCAGATTCGTCCAAAATACCTTTGACTGAATCGTCCAGCAAGTTTTTTCCTTGCGCTCTTCCTGTTCCCCCGATTCTTATCAACCAGAAGAGTCGAAGCATTCAAAGCTGCTCATTCCACCACAACCTCTGGGGTACTTTGGCTGCTTTGTTCCTTATTGAAAAGCCGTTGTATCCCCTATTTCGAGCTCATCAGCATGGCAAAGCCATCGAGTCCCGAGGACCCGTTCGGATCGACGCTGGTGTCCACCTCGCACAACGATACGTACCCCTACATTGACCCGATCAAGGGCAACATGACGGGGGCCAAGGTCCTGGTCACGGGGGCATCCAAGGGCATCGGCCGCGCGACTGTCAAGTCGTACGCCCGCGCCGGCGCGTCGTCGATTGCACTGCTGGCTCGTTCCAACCTCGACACGGTCGCCGACGAGGTCGCTCAGGCCGCCAAAGAGGCCGGTCGTCCGGCCCCACAGATCCTCAAGCTGCAAGCCGATATGGCTGATGCAGCAGCGGTGCAAACGGCCATCGACATAGTCAAGCGCGAATTCCGGACCTTGGACGTGGTGGTCAACAATGCGTCTCGGCTGGAAAGGTTCAAGCCCTGGGCCGAAACACATGTCGACGACTGGTGGAAGACCTGGGAGTTGAACATTAAGGGTACCTATCTTGTCAACCGGGCTACGCTGCCGTTGCTGCTTGCAGGGGATCTCAAGACCTTGTTGACAATATCCAGCGCCGGCGCCATGATTGCCTCGTCAGTACACATGTCCCCTCACAGGAGATTCACTCACAAAGGCTCGAGAAACTGATACACGGGTTCTGTAGTCCAGGTGCCAGCGCTTATCAGGGCTCAAAATTGGCGCAGATCAAGCTGAACGAGTTTCTCATGTCAGAATATGGCGGCCAGGTCTGTTGTTAACCTCTTTCCCCTCCTCTTCCCTCGGAATTCACATCCAGTGTGGTTCTCCAATTGCTCATCTGTATCTTGCGCCTTCATAGGGCCTGATTGCTTTTGCGATCCACCCGGTTGGCGCAAAGACCGAGACTGCATTGAATATGCCCGAGGAAATGCACTTTTATCTGACCCAGACCCCTGAGTTGGCCGCCGACACGATCGTATGGATGACGCGGGAGAGGAGAGAATGGTGAGTTCTTTCACTCGTCGCTTCAGTCTAAGTGGGGGTCAATTATCTTTGGACTGTTCGCTGATCTCGAGGTGGATTCTCTCCAGGCTTGCGGGTCGTTTCGTCTATGGGCCCCTGGACATGGAGGAGTTGTTGGCCAAAAAGGATGAGATTGTGGCGAATGACCTGTTGAAGATGAAGTTGACTGTATAGAAAGGGTTGAGTTGGTCTTGAGGAAGAACATACATATTATGACTATAGGAAGCGTGTCGGCATCACAGCTCAATTACATGGGATATGAGTGTCTGTGTCTGTAGAGAGATGAAAAAAATCAGGTGCTCGTGATGAATCTCTGCTGGATCGAGCCAGCTGCTGAACTTGCTACCGCCTATAACCTTTTTTTGGTTCGATCACAGAGGCTGTGGTGTCCTTGTCTCTGTGCCCCTGGTGTTTAACTAACTATCCTTGAGATCCATCCCCTACTTCCAACTCAATCAATGACCGGCAGCACCAGATACGAATCAAACACGGAGCCAGTATAGATCGTGTGCTTCCCCTTATTGACCGAGTTCTCGTGCATCATGGTCGGTCCAATCTCCGGACAACTGAAAATATCCGTACCCTGAATGGTCAACTTGAGAGACTCGCCCCGCAAAAATTTGGTGCTGCTCGCAATGATCTCGATGTCGACGGGGACAATCTCGCTCGGTCGCAAAGGCAACCTGCGGCGATGCTTCATCCAAGGCCGGTTGTGGTGGGTCAGACCCAGGTCCATCTCCCGATGGCTGGCCCTCAGCCAGCCCAGGGCTAAGGGGGCGTTATCGAACATGGCAAAGGCCACAAAGGGCACGACTTGACCCTCAACGTCTAGCTTGTCGACGGACACAAAGAGATCAAGGTCATCGCTCTCGGTTCCTGTCGAGACCCACAGTCGCAGTCGCATGCTTCCTGTGACCTCGGTGTCCCGGACAAAGGTGTAGGCAAACTGGGCGTTGTTGCCGGTCTTGGACAAGCTGTCATACGAGACGTGGCCGAGTAGATAAGGCAGAGAATCTTGTAGTTTTCTCGACTCGGCGTCAAGATATTTCAATGCGAATCTCGTGCGTTTAATCGACCATTCCTTCTCGTCACGCCAGGTGCCTTCGTACGCGCGATCACGGATCTCGATTCTCACGGACGGCCAGGAGTCAACCTCACTCGGCTTACCCTTGAGGAACTTCTGATAAAATGCCTCTTGTCGCGCGAGGCTGGACGGTTGATAGAAATACTGCCACTTCTTGCGCCCATGCACCTCGAGCCACTTATGCTTGGACGAGATGGTCTCGTATCCGTGCAAAGTCCCACGCGTGTGAAGACCATGGTCGCCCCAATCGACAACGCAATAGGCTGGAACAGTGATGGCAGCGAGGTTCCCTGCCCGTTTCGACTCGTGGTACTCGTCTAACAACTCGTGTGCTTGATTGCTCTTAAACCAAGCCTCGGTCTTGTTTCGAGAAAACTGGCACGACCAGTCGGAAAAATGTAGAAACTTGGTCTCAGGAATGCCCCCGTTGTGTGTATGATCGCGGTAGGCGTCCGTGTAGCCTTCCCACGGGTTAATACAAGCCAGATGCGGTGGCTTGAGCTGGGCGATCCGCCACTGTACGATGGCTAGGTACGAGACGCCACAGAGACCCACGCGACCATTAGACCAGGGCTGCCTGGCGATCCATTCGATTGTGTCGTAGCCGTCGTAGGCTTCCTGGGGCCCCAAGACGTTGAGGTATCCCTCGCTGGCCCATGACCCGCGGCTGTCGACATTAACCACGGCGTAACCCTTTGCAGTCCAATGCACGGGATCACATCCCTCCCAGACGGTGTGTTTGGATACTGTGCCCTTTGGGACGCCGGAGCCCGGAAACAGATCGAAGGTCTTCGGGGCGTGTTTGCCGTAGGGCGAGAGGGTCATCAAGGTCGGGAGACGAGTCGTCGAGGACTCGGGCTGGAAGACGTCGCCGTAGATGGTGACTCCATCGCGCATTGGGATGGCGACGTCGCGAATAATGTCCATCCCATCAGTCTTTTCTTCCAGATTGGGCCGGAATCCAGGATACTTTCCCTCGTTGGGGTCGACAGCGTCTTTCCAGATGAGGCCATATTTGGCACTGTCGGCCGCCGGGACGAGGCTTTCAGGGTAGCTCATAGTTGGGGTGTGTTTTCCGTCGTCAGACACTCAAACGTTGAAGCAATTGAGCCAAGTTTAGAATAAGCGGTTTAATCAAGTCACAGATCGAGGACGGCGATGATTATATCTCGTAATCGCGCAGAGGTGCTCCGCTGCTGATAGACCGACCGCACAGATAGCCAAAGCATTGGGTCTCTGGGATAGGATGGGAGCTGGACTTAGGCTCACAAAATCCGGGCGGCTAGAATGGGTGATGGACCGGCGGTTGAAGCACAGCCGGGGGAAACAAAAGATGGGGAGACAAATAGACCTGCCTTGGTTGTGAGTAAAAGCCCGCAAATCTCGTGATCGGCTTGCCACGATGGGCTGATCATTCTCGCCAGAGATCCACCTCCTGTAGTCGACGAGAGACACAGAGAGAGCAGGAAGATTGGGAGGTCATTGTTATTATGACGGGCTTGGAGTGAAACTATGGTCCCTCGAGTATACATATGAGGATCGAATTGGAGCATTCCAGAATGCCTGAGTGATCGACGATGCCTCCATACCAAGAACGACACTATTTACAGAGGAATGCTTCCTTGTCGTACGGGAATCACGAGAGGCAAGCAACCAAACCGGGTCAAGCCCGAATGGCGACAAAGGATTTGAAGTCTGCTGTTCACAATACCGCCATCACCTTCATTTGACCTGTACAGTCCATCCAAACGCACCCTCTCCGCATGTCGCTGCCTATCCTAAGCAGGTGTGACCGTCTCCCGGTGGTGGTTCTTCGCGTGCAAGTCCTCCACGGGAGCATCAACTCGGTAAGTCATGGTCTTCTTCAAATCACCTAGGAGCAGACAGCCAAAGCAGGCCACCGCACCAAAGGGGGCAGCGATGACGGGCACCACACGAAGCGAATCGGCCCAAGCATGCTGCTGCGCCAAGAAGCCTTGGCTGATGGCGGTGGGGGTTACGCCGGCAACGCCTCCCAGCATAGTCTCATTGTACGTAGAAATGCCGCCGATGAAGGCGGGCAGCGCATCGGGAGCCAGGCCGGCTTTGCCTCCTGCTTCTGCTACGTACGCCGGGAGCTTGGACGCGAGTCGGTTGGCGAGAGCTGCACCATACCCCGCGGTGAAAATGACGCCGCCCACCGCGCGAGCCGAGTTGGTCACGGCCGTTGCGGTCGCAATCAAATGGTGCGGCGTGGACAATTGGACCCCCGCGATGATCAGAATCAGTGGAGATCCGAAGCCGATTCCGGCCAAAGCAGCAAAGGCCAGTTGATTCGCATTGTCACCAGGCTGGATCGTGGCCAGACCAATATTGCCCGCCGTGAACAAGAAGTATCCAAAGAATAGGGGCTCGCGGATCGTCCGGAACTTGGAGCTCAAGAAGCCCCAGACCGGACAGCTCAGCAGGAAGAAGCCCCAGTAGGGGAGTAGTCGGACGGCGATCATAAAAGGATTGGTAGTGAAGAGCATGTTGGTCCTGATTGATGAGGTATTAGACCTGGGAAGAGGGAGAGCGAAGAATGAGAAGGGGGTTAGAAGGGCAAGACTGACATAATGGAGTAGAAAACGATAAAGGGGAAGCCCAGAACGGCCTCAATGACCATCAGACCGTTGAGGATGGCGTAGTTCCGGCCTTGACTCTTGCCGCCGCGGAACAGGTCGTGGCTCAGCACGCCATGATCGGTGCCTTTCCACTCGTAGAGACCAAAGGCTACCAAGACGACGAAACCGACGACAATGGTAGAGATGGTCCGGGCATTCGACCAAGAATAGAGACCACCACCGAGACTGAGGCCAACCGAGAACAAGGTCAAGCCGATGACCAGCAGTGCCATACCGGGGAGATCAAGATGGACGACCTTTTGCCAGAACGAGAGGTGATCCATGCGAGTATGCCGCTTGGGAGGTCGGTAGCCGAAGAAGATACCTACGGCGCCAGCGCCCCAGATGGCGAACATGATCCACTGAGGGCGGTGGTGTAAGTTAATGGACTCTCCCATCTTCTCATTGCATCAAGTCTTTGCATGAAAGTCCAGAAGAGAGAACTCACATAAAATTGTCTCCATCCATTATGCGGGTTGCGTTTAGTCAAGGCGCCTATGGACAGAGGCCCCATCATAGCTGTGAGAGCTGCGATGACCGCCGCCGCCGCTTGAGCCACTGTGTCACCACCATTAGAATCAAAGAGAAGAAGAAGAAGAAGAACAAAAGAGAATTCTTACACGGCCTCCATCTTCGGGGCAATATCTCGCTGGGAACGACGTAGCTGAGGGGAACAGCAGACATGCCCACTCCCAGCAATGCCTGGGCCCCAATAAGTCTGTAGATGTCTGTTGAACCAGGTGCAATTCCTGAGCCGATCAAGGCCAATAGACAGGAAGCGACCAGGATAGGTTTGCGGACTTGGAATACATCCGAGGCGGAGGCGATCAAGGGGCCGAGCACCGCCTGGACGAGACTCATGGCATTGACGATCCAGGTTTGCGCGGCGGGGTTTCCCAGGTCGGCGCCGATGAAGGATAGCTTTGTGCCGTTAACGATTCTGTCTCCTCAAGACGGCAGCAGAACATGAATAGAATCGTCTCGAAGGACTTACCACGGTCGGAGGCCCTTGGAACGCAATGCCCTGACCGCAAAGGACGAGGCCGACAGAGGCCAGTGCAATCCAAGTGCGGAAATGCAATTCCGGTTCTTCTTCATCATTCACATAGACGAGATTACCGAGCGCGTCGGTATGAGAGTCATTCATCTCGAGGTGTTTCAGCTGGACACCCATCTCGTCCTTTTTATGGGGCTCAGTCGAAATGACGGGCTCTTCAAACTTCATCGCCATGGAGTCGGACTGCTGCTGAGAGCCGGACATTTTTTCGTCTGCAGCGTGGAATAGATGGCGCGAAAAGGGGAACAGAGGGAGGAGAAGGATAAGGAGGTAAGTAGGTAGGTAGTTGCTTCAGAGCTCAATATGTCTGCTTGCAAGTATATAGATGAAAAAAATACCACAGCGGCCTCTGCCACAAGGAAGAGAGATAGGCGAGCGACGGATATATCTCCGCGGCGGCGACAGCGTCAAATGGATCTAGAGTCTTTGGAACTTGAATCTCGAGAGCTTTCTTGTCCTCCTGCAATCTACAAAGCCCCTACATACCCGATAAAGTCGCGTGAATAGTTTACCCCGGGCGACGCGCGAGGCATGGTATCAAGCGTATGCACCCATCAAACCCCACGGAGAGGGACCCGCTCTTTTCTCCCTCTGGATGTCTCTAGGTCCCATGTCGGAAACCAAGAAGGGCGAAGCTAAGAAGGCGGGGGGGAGAGAAGAAAAGACACCGGGGGGCTCAGGAAGCAGTGCAGCACTGGCCTCGAAACCAGGACCGAGGACACGACCAGATCGATCCTGGGAGCCTGGTCTCCTTTTTGGTAAAGACCAAGGTTTGTCTAGACAAGCGGCTATCGAACGGGACGAGACTCCAATGCTAGCGGCTTACAGACATGGTCTGGATCTGGGTATATTCGCGATCACAGGACCGGCTTTGTGGAGAGAAGCAACCCCTTCGCTCTTGTTCCACTTCGAAGGCGCTTTTTTCCACAGGCTCTGGGTCTCCAACTATCCCGGACTTGACTACCATGTACATGCACTCCAGAGCTTGTCCGAAAAATCACCTCTCCGCTGCACCAGGACTCGGATGAGGGGAGTTTGACTGGTTGGCGATCCGAGCTAAGCATCTAGGCTGTGCTTTAGCTCGTCGCTCGGGTTGAAAGTCGGCTATGGCTCCAGGCTGACAGATTGCAAGGTTATCAGGTTGCGAAAGAGACCATCTCCGTCATGTTACAAGGATTCACGCCGCAGGAGATAATCTCTCCACGTCAAGCAATAGCTTCCCGCCTCGAACCAAGGCGGCAAACCGATCTTCCATCTCCATGTCTTCCTCCCTCATCGTTGGATTGAGCCGGAAATCGAGGTTACGGAACAGCAGCGCCGTGGCAACCCGGAGCTCCAGATTGGCCAGATTCTGTCCGATGCAGTTCCTTGGCCCTAGGCTGTAGGGTGTAAATGCTTTTTCCGCCGCGCTCGACGATCCCGTCGTCCCAAGCCATCGGTCCGGGTTGAACGAATGCGGATCGGGATAGACCTTGGGGTTCCGGTGGTGGACATAGTTCTGCATCGCGATCCGTGTCCCGGGGGGGAAAACCAGAGGTTTGTGTTTGGTCCCGGCTTGGACGTGGTCGTCGTCGGTGTCTGCCACGACCGTCGTGGTCAGAATTCGGGGCAAGGTCCCCATCAACGAGGGATTCAGGCGCATGGCTTCCTTGATCACAGCATTGAGATAGGGTAAATCAGTGACACTGGCCGCGGACCCGTCGGGAGAGCAGAGCTCCTCGCGCAGTCGAAGTTGCATGGCTCGATTTTCCGGTCGCGAGAGGTGGTAGAGAATATAGACGATCGTGGTGGACGTGGTGCCGCTGCCGGCAAAGGCCAGGCCCATGGCTTCCTCCAGGCCCTCGTCTTCGGTGAGTCGACGACCCAAAAAGTCGTCGATTTTGTGGACGAACGGCGAGGCGAGAAATTTCTCTTTGCCACCCCGTCCGGTCTGTTCTGACTGGCGCTTAAACGACGTGTAGATGGCTCGCGTGGTCTCTTCCCACTGTCGCCGCTGGCTGAATGCCTTGCCAATGATGCCGGGCAAGGACTCGCTCAGCTTTGTATGCGCTAGGAGGGGAAAGGTGTCGGTCAAGGGCGTGATCATCGCTGCTTGACTCATGGCGTGGAGGAAGTTGAGCCCCGGGGCTGTCGACTCGGCGTCAAGATCATTGTCAAAGGCGACTTGACAGATGACTTCGAGGCTGAATAAGCCACATAGTGGATGCACATCGACACTGTGAGACGACGATGCGGCGGCCTCGGAGATGATTCGTTTTAGGAAGATATGGGCCTTGTTCCAGATGACCGGTTCATGTTGGTTAATGGCCTGGAGAGAGTATGGGTCGTTTTCCATCTTGCGTCGAGCGGCGTGCTGGGCTTTGTTTCTACAAGTGGGCAGCATGTCAGTCTGGACGGTACGTGGTCAATGAAAATGGCGATCACACGTACCTCATACTGAAGATGTTCTCGTTTGGCGGCGTGAGTCGGGTTGAAGAATAGAACGAGTCCTCCTTGATGCTGGCTCCGCGGGTATAGATCTTTCGGTACATTTCGGGGTCGGAGATGGACACCTCATTAGGACCAACACGGACATATGGTCCATATTTGTCGTGGAGATTGAGCAGTGTCTATTCCCTCGTCGAATAAGTGTCAGCTCACTTGCTTGCAATTGAGGTGTCCCTGCACCGGGATTGAATGGTGTCGCACATCCACTTACGTGACTTCGAACGCCTTTCAGGTTGGCCAGATAGACAGAAATGGAGGAGATCTTGGCCAATAGAGGGCCTGGAACATTCTTTAATGGATGGATATAGACACCTTGAACTATCTGGAGTGCTGTCAGCAAGGGTCCTATACTTGTATTGATTGCACGGGGCAATCTGTCTGCTTACCCTCAGCAAGATCGCAAGAACTAAACAGACCACGGCCAGTTGCATCAGGGACACACCAAACGGTAAACGTTCACTTGGGAACGCTAATGAGAGTGAAAAGATCATGACAGTATGTCCTTTCTGGTCGGTAACTCTGTTTGGGGAAAGCGAGGGTCATCAACGACCAGTACAGGTATCAATCATGAATGCTTTGGCCAAGGGAAATGCATCGCGTCCAAAGTCTGATGCTGAGGTCAATATCTAATATAGCATGATACAATATGAAGAGAACGCTCAGTGGCCAGCTTCCTTCCCATAATCGCCGGATGCAAAGGTCTCAGTCAACCCCGCAACGGAGGCTGAACCACTGAACCGACAGCAGCCCCTTCCTTCACCTTTCGTTGCAGTTCCGGGCAAGGCTCATTTGACTCTGGTGGAATGACCATTTTGGTCTGTTTGACCCCGGAAGATGAGACTGCGAATCAGGCCCATGATGTTGCATGGTACGTAATCATCCCGAGCCACACCAAACGACCCTCTATCCCGTGATCGGAATCAAGAAAGAGTCGAGATTTGCACTGCGATCCCCAGTCCCAAGCATCGAGTTCTTAAACACATGCTCCGAGGTTACCGCGAGGGGTTGGAGGCATGCCAATGCAGCGTTTGGCTCTCGGAGACGACGGTATGGATGGCTTTTGCCTTCCCAGCGATGAAAAGCGCCAGATAACCGAGAGTGGAGGGTCACTTAATCGGGGAACGGCCGGTCTAGAGAACGATTTTCATATGACGTTACCACCAGACAGACACAGAAAAGAAGAAGTGTAACATCCGCAGATAATATTCACCATCGTAACAGAACCGAAAAAAACAAAGCGAAGGGAGAATGGTCTCAAACAACTGGGTTCGCGATGATCTGCCAGGAGTCGCCGTTGTCTCTGGGGCAGCATCTGGTGAGTTGTTGTCCCTTTTTACCCAGTGCAACAGAGAATCTTCTAACAGACTCAGGCATCGGTGTCGGCATTGCCCGCTCCTTTGTGCGAGCGGGAGTCACCAATATCGCGCTGTTGGACCTCAATTCAGCAGGTCTGGCTGCCACTCGCGAGACACTGCTCCAGGAATCCAAGAACCGGAGTATCAACTTAGCCGTCTTCACGCTGGACATCTCTCAAGAGGACCAAGTCGTGTCAGTGTTTCAGAAGATCAAAGCTGAGTTTGGCCGCATCGATTACGCCGTCAACAATGCCGGCATTGGATGCTACAAGGCCACGGCCGACCTGACGGTCGAGGAGTTTGATCGTACCATCGCCGTAAACCTGCGCGGCGTTTTCCTGTGCACCCGCGAAGAGTTGAAGATCATGAAGACTCAGGAGCTCGACTCGGACGTGTACGGTGGGATCGCCCCCGTCCGTGCCCAACGAGGCGCCATCGTCAATACCGGATCGGTCCTGGGTCTGGTGCCGGTACCGGCCATGTCGGCGTACAATGCATCCAAGGGCGGCGTCATTGCACAGACGCGCTCAGATGCGCTCGACTATGCGTCGTACAAGATCCGAGTTAATACGGTGCTGCCGGGGACGACCAAGACACCCGCCTGGGATAAAGAGCCTGAAGACTTCAAACGGATCTTTATCCGGATGAAGGTGCCGATGGAACGCGTAGGTGAGGTCGAGGAGTTGGCCGATGCCACAGTATTCATGTGCAGTAACAAGGCCTCGTATATCCAGGGAGTGGCACTTCCTGTTGACGGAGGATCCATGACCAAATAGAGGACAATATGTACCGAGTCGTGAATCATCCGCCGTGTAGGGTATCTGGCATGCCTCGTCCAGTTCGAGGACGGGAGACGCTTCAGCAGTATCACTGGACTCATCGGAACGAACTCGGAAGGCTCAGTCCATGCCGATTGTTATGAATCATGGCAGTCGAATCATATATTGTTCCTTATTCTTCCATCTATTTCCTCAGGAAGTAGGAGTATATATACACTGAAGCAACATAGTAGAAGCTTCCTTACAATTTCCAAGCATGCGGAATGATTCCATAAAGCTTTTGTCAATGCCATGATAAGTCGGTTGAGCCTCATATCACAACACCGATCACTGGACGTACATAACACCCTGAAGCCGGTGGGTCCATATGTAATGTGGGACAAGATGACCAAGCTGGCCACGGGCGTACTCTGTCGGGGTCAGGGGTCAAGAGGATTCATCTTCATCTCCGAAGAAACCCTGGATGGGCCAGGATGACAAATTCATAGATTTACATACATACAAATCTACACAAGGCACAGGGATAGTCGAGCCGGTGTCGGTATTAATATTGCTACCTCCAGTACTGACCTTTTTCAAGTCTAGGTCCTGTCTTCTTGGAGATCGCTAGAGGAAGCATTCATTAACGAATCCTTCCCTCAGTCAAGGGCGTGTCACGTAACCATCCACCATACGGCTACACCAGCCCGTCCTTAGATACCTTCAAGAAGCCTTCAGAGTCATCATGGCAACAATCCAGTCCGACATCACCCTCGGAGGTGAGCGTACACTGGTTCCTTCAGCTTCTTCGCTTATAAAACTAATCACCACACCTTGATCTTCAGACTACGTTGCATGGGAAGAGATTACATTCGACTGGGCCCGCGCCTTTGACACCAAGGTATGGAACAAATCGCGGGCTTCGATGCGGACAAGAGAGCCGAAATACTGACTGCAGCCTGCATGACAGGACTGGAACCTGCTCCTCTCGATCCTCGCTCCCAAATTCTCGGTAAACCACCTTCCAATGCTGCCCTCTTCCATTTTGGGACCCGACCTAGGACTGACTCTTTTGATTGCCTAGCTCGACTACACCGAAGTTTATGGATTCAAAGATGACAACATGACCCCCGAAGCCTACGTGGCCATGTGCAACAGCACCGATATGCTGGGCGATCGAGGTGTCAAGACCCAGCATCTCCTGGTGGCGTCCAAGGTGCGCAAATTGTCCTCGACCAAGGCGACGGCATGGCGACAGATTCGAGCCGGGCACGTCAAATTCGACATCGACACCGCGCAAGAGACGGCGAAAGCGCACGGTCAGGGTATGTTGCAGTTCTTCTACGAGAAGGTGGATGAAAGCCAGTGGAAATTGTGCGGGCTCAAGGCTTACAGTGACTTTTTCGAGGGCAATATCCGTAGTGTCTTTCCGACTTTTCCAGAGGTCGACATGAAGTTCTAGGAAGCCGGTCCAACAGTCGGCATCATCATCTTGCCTCGGTCAGATAGAATAGCTGTAGGTATGGATCGAGATCGGTTACACGATTTCAGCCGTCTCAGTCAGATTCGATAAGAGGGTCTAGCACGAGCGCACCAGGGGAGAAAACGCGTACCTGGCCAGGCCTAGAGGTATCGATGATCCCTCGAAACCCTGTTGCCCGTGTCGACGGCATTTTCCCTGCCTCTCTAGAGAGGTCGCCTACTTTGGATAGTCGAGCCTGTTCAATCCAGGTCCAGTCCATCTCCATACCGCGCCGGCCAGTAGGCATCTCTCCCCGTCGAAACAGACAAATTACGCGGACCCACGGGAGTCCAAGGCTCGTCGACTGGGCAGAATTCTTAGAACGTGGTCGGCTGGGTCCTGTATGTTGAGGTCGATTCGCCTCCAAGCTTCAATCCCGACCACGTGCGAGGGGATCCTGTCTCGGCCCCAGCTTCCCTGGTTACGCAGCCTGGATCTTTGGCAATAGCATCGCTCGTATAGATGACAAATGACGCTTTCATGTCCGGAGTACATCGTGGAAATGTCGGGAATGGATCGCTGAACAGTATCGTATTGTATAGTTTGGTCTGGTTTGGTCCCGGCTGATACTCGACTCAGAGAGTGGACGGCCGCGATGCTTCGGGTCCAGCTTCTCGAGCTTCTTCAGACCAGTAGCTAGGCAGATCGGTGCCCCAATTGACGCTCTAAAGGTCACGTTATTGCACAGGTGAAATACCAGGGAACAAGACAATCCGTGAGCCATGACTGACTGACCACAACTCTCGGAAGTACCACTTTCTGAACCCATTATCTCTATTCTCTTTCCCCAGCCTCAGTTCACTTTTGGTTTCGCAGGTAAGAGCACGACCCACCGCAGCGACATTCCGCGGTGTTCAGACATCCTCATCCTATCTCGACTGTCTCTCGACCTTTTCGATCGCCAGAGTTACTCTGATCCACTCAAGAAAACACCTACATACGAAGATCTTTCAGCCAATATTCAGTTCTTACTCTATACTCTCCCCTGGCCAAAATGCCATACCACGTCGTCGTCTTTTATCCCAACGACGAAGACCTCAAATTAGATACGACCTACTACCTCCAAACCCACATGCCCATGGTCCAGGAAAAGTTTGGCCAGTATGGCCTCAAGGGCTGGGAAGCGGTCGAATTCAGCCCCGACTCGGGCGCCGATGGGGGGCGAATCCCCTACGCTCTCCAGGCAGTCCTGATCTGGGACAAGGCCGAGGACGTCGCCAAAGCTATGTCGTCACCTGAGGCACAGGTCGTGTTTGGCGACCTGGCCAATTTTTGCAACAAGGCGCCTATTTCCATGGGCGGATCGGTGGTGGGCACGACACGGAGGTCGTCGTGAAGAGGCCAAAAGGAAGAATCAGGCTCATGCCAATAAGAGCACGATCAGGAAGCTAAGCAAGTATCCTCCGTACGACAGCCTTTGCCGGTATTATTGTATCTAGTACTATGGATCGTCCCATATAAAGCTCTTACTGGGGGTCTCCAGGTCCTCAACGCCTGTAGCACCACGGAACACAAGGGTCCACGAATCAATGACCTGCGTGCCTTGCGGATTGATCAGTTTGAGCAGTTGGCCCCTGTGGAAACTCCCATCAGCGTCGGTGTGATGTCCTCGTAGGCTATTCCTAACATAAATACTATAGCTAGATACAATGCCTATCCACTAAAGTACGAGGGCGCAGTGTCGGGCGGTATCTTCAAAGAGGTCCGTGTTTCTATTTTCTGGTTCCGTTGTCTGTGACAGTTTAGTCCCCATATACATAAATCACGGTTACGGTGTGCTGTAAAATGGATAAGGATGTTAGCATTTTGTCGAAATCGGGTGTCATTTTCTCTGTTGGCGGTAGTCGTCACCATTATCAGGCAGAATCCACGTCCTCAGCCGAGTCTTAGTTATCAAGATCTCTTCTCCACGGCAAAGGAAAATGGTTATAAAGATAATTTTGCACCGTTGAAATGGAGTTTTGTTGAGTTTCTACAAACCAAGATTGACAGTCTCTCTACTTCATGTGGTACAGAGTGGGCCGATGCCGTTCGATGGTGTACGAAAACTGCCTGGAAGAAAGAGTACAGTGAAAAAAGATTCCTCGAGCAGGTTGTGCATGTGTTCGACTCGTGAATCCAAGAGTAGGCTACTATGGTGTCCCCCTACAGTGACCTTCAAAGACACTCTCTACGATAGTATCTCACGACTGGGAGCATTTCGGCCTACTCCACCTCCGTCCGCAGCGATTCCCATTCACGACGCCATTAATATTTTGGTCGATATCCGACATTTCAGTATGCTTCCAACACCTTGCATCGATAATGTTATAAACGAAGCACAAATGGTCGCAAAGCAGTTCACTTCCCAGTGGAAAGCAAACCAGATCATGAAATCGCAAACGGCAGAAGTTTTCACAATCGGTGCGACGGCACGTACCTTTTGGAGGGTAATTCTATCTCAACTTGCTGGAGCCAGGGCATTCTCACACTATTCTGCCGATGAGATTGTGATCAGTATCACGCCCCACGACGGTCAACCTATCAACTATACCTGGGACCAGGTTACGCAGGCATACAAGAAGTTTTCACCAACAACGCCCCCAGATAGTCCCTCTGAAGGTTCTGCATACGTAGAACTATAGGTCGAGGATGCGGGCTACTAGCAGGCAAGGAGGCAGCAATCCTGTCGTCTTGAATCTCACGAAGAATTCAATTGAGGCTTGGGATTGGCATAGCTGTGTAGTTTAGGGGTCTGCAGCTGGCGGACATGACTGCCTGTGGAGGGCACAAGTGGGACATGACTTTACACGGTGGATCGTTGCGAAGATAAGGATCGGAGTCAAGTATTCGGTCTTTCTCGACTCTGATACCGATTGTATAGGACTACCTGACTCAGTTGACCCTAAATTCGATCATTTTTTGCGGGCAGTGATTGAGGCAGGAACGGGAGTCATGGCCTTCCGACCGGTGAGGCCTTCGCGTGGCGCTATGTGAACTTCTCGACGTCCCTACTTACCAATGACGGTACTGAATATGGCAAAATCCGTTGCCACGCTCGAGGATTTTTTTGTCCTTCCCAGGTTGCAGATTTTAAAGTGAATGGCTGGAAGGTAACAGCATCAGTCCTTTGCCTCGTCTCGTAATACACAGGGTCGGTATGTAGGGTCAAAAAATGCTTGTAGAGATGCTCTCCATAGCTTCCCATGCTGAGTGGAGGGGCTCATGAACTTGGGACAAAATCATTGTTACTCAGTGGTGATGATCATGAGAACGTAGGATGTGTCAGTAACTAGCCCTAAGGTAAAATATTGACAACAAAGAAAGGCTAGTAGGCCGTAACTTGATGGCTGTACGGTAAAACGAAGACTGAGCAGCCTCGTAAGAGTGGATGGCTGTTGATGAGTTTCTGAAGGAGACATTGGTGCTGCATTTGACTTGCTAGTGTCTGGATGATATGACTGGATGGTGTTGTGGATTATGGCAGTGGAAGCGTAGATTGATCCTTATTCTACTTCTACTTCCTAAGGAAGTAGAAGTATATATACATCGAAGTGACATACTAGAAGCTTCCCTACAATTTCCAAGTATGCGGAATGATTCCATGAGACTTTCATAAATGTCGCGATAGTTGGTTGAGCCTCATATCACAACTAGGGCTCCGAAATGAATACGAATAATGTGAATATTCACGAATAAAGACGAATATGAATAAGTCTTGGCGAATAAATGTGAATACGAATATGGACTCTATTCGTATTCGCAATATTCGTGAATATTCACGAATATTCACACATGTGGGTCGCAGGAAAGGGAGGGTGGATGCTCGTCATTTCCTGAATGGAAATAACCAGATTTTTGTCGTGTCGCATCCTCATTCAATCCTCGCCGTCGCCGTCGAGTTGTGTGTGAATCTAACAGAATCTGCCCCAGTTCAATTAACTCTACGGCAAATCATGTCTCCTGCTCCACCAGTTTACACTTCACTTTTTTTCTCATATCTACATGCGAGAATCATAGTGGCCCTTAAGCAGGACCAACGAGCGCATGGTGTCAGCGCTCATCGACTGTCGTCGGAGACCTAGGACGTCTCTAGCTCCACTAAACACACGTTCCACGCCGACCTCCGTAGCAGGAACCGCTAAATAGTCACGGGCTGCGCGTGCCATTGACGGGAACTCGAAGGCATTGGCCTTCCACCACTTGAGCGCCCAGTCAGCGTTGCCATCTTCTACACAGCTCTGTGACCAGCTAACTGCTGCAGAATCAAGATACCTGTCGATGTCGGACATCTGGACCCCGACTCCCGGCTGCAACCGTTTCAAAGTTTTCCACAACGAATCTGGCATCCCTGGCGGTTGTTGAGGTTCAGGTTGAAGACTGAAACGAAACGGATATTCGGTCTTAAGAAAGTCTCGGACCTGTGACACGATCAACGTCACATCGACACTGTTCATGTGCGCTGCGATCAACGACGTCTTGATACGTGGATCCAAGACGGTCGCCACATAGTACAAGATGTTCTCGTCCATTTTGCGAATGAACTTCTCCGCCTTCTCTAGAGCGTGTCGAACGGCCTCTTGGATTGAAGCATGGATGTTCTGGAAGTCGCCCTGCGCTGTGCTGATATCCGTCAGTAGATCATCAAGACTCCAGTATATCGCTAGACTGTCGGCGATGGCAGG